CTTTCAGTGTTTGGGTTTTTTTTGTCCTGGGGTATGAAATCTACTGAATAATCATTCACCTTTATGGGTTGACATTGCATATTCTTTACTGGTAGTTTATTTTTATGCTTTTTCTGATGGACATGCTTCTTTAGGTAGTTGATGCTTGGTTTGTACATGGTGCAAAAATGTTTCAGTTTTATCACTCTTTATGACATAATCATGCATATTCTTTAATTTCATTTTCTTCTTTTGTGACTGTGATAGGACTGTTTCCCATGATTCTGGTTTGATTTGTTCTTGAGGTAGGGATGCTGGTGGATAATTTGAATTTGTATCCATTTTTTCTGATAAATGTTAAATGTTGCTAGACAGTAGGACATTGGAAATAGTCCTCTGGTATGCGCATCCTGTTGTCAGGCAATACATATATCCTGTAGCTGGACAATGCAGATAGTCTGTATTTGTTCAGAGGGCTATGCACCAAAAATAGGTGAGGCTTGGGTCACTCTGGAAGAAAACAAAATGAGAAAGTCAATCAATGTTGCACATGACTACGAATATATTGTCCTTCAGATAGAAACTATCATGTGACCTTCAGTATTTCCTATGTGGACAGCAAACAGTTTAGGCAGGACTGGAATAAGGTACCAAAATGTGAAGCAAAGACAAGGTTAGGACAAGCTGGATATCAGGGCTGGTTGCATAAATTGGATAAAACCAAAAGTAGTGAAGGCCAATGACGAGAAGATAGACTGATGTTGACCAAAGGCCACGTCATAAACAGGAAAACAGGCCTGAGGTTCACAAATACAACCTGGCAGTGTCAGGTTTCTGTGGTAGTGAGCCCTTGTAGAATACCAACCCAGGGTTCCCCAGAGCACAGAGTCTAATCCCCAGCCTGCTTCTTCACCAGGGCCCCTGATGCTGGGAATGGACTTGCCAGAAAGTTGGAACCAGCCCTCAGGTACACCCAGCTGATGATACAGAGACCAATTTCATGTACAGAATACAGATGGCAGGAGACAGAAGAGGAAACAGGAAACAAATCGAGGTCAGGGCAGGCGGCAGACAAGCACAAACAGAAGACGATTCCGGGGTCAATACACAGGAAGTCAGACACAAATACACATATTAAAAAGAAAACAGAAGCTCAGAGAACTGTGAAGTTGCTTAGGTAAGGCGAACTGAACTGAGCACATATGTACAGTGCTCAGCATAAATGAGTACCCCCCTTTTGAAAAGTAACATTTTAATCCATATCTCAATGAACACAAGACCAGTTTCCAAAATTTTTACAAAACAGTTTTATAGAACATTGTTTAGTTCATTACATGAAAGTAAGGTTAATAATATAACTTAGATTACAAAATCTTCAGTTTTAATAAAATTAATTGATGCAAAAATGAATACACCCCGCAACAAAAACTACTACATCTAGTATTATGTATGACCTTCATAATTTGTAAGGACATCACGAAGTCTTCTAGGCATGGAATGAACAAGTTTGCAACATCTATCTTTTTCTGTTCAAGGACGACCTCTTTTAGAGCCTGGATGTTGGATGGAGAGTGATGCTCAACTTGTCTCTTCAGAATTCCCCATAGGTGTTCGATTGGGTTCAGATCAGGAAACATACTTGGCCACCGAATCACTTTAACCCTGTTCTTCTTCAGAAATGCAACAGTGGCCTTAGATGTGTGTTTTGGATCATTGTCATGTTGGAAAAGTGCATAACAACCAAGGGAATGGAGTGATGGTAGCATCTTCTCTTTCAATACAGAGCAGTACATCTGTGAATTCATGATACCATCAATGAAACACAGCTCCCCGACACTGGCAGCACTCATGCAGCCCCAAAGGACACTGCCACCACCATGTTTCACTGTAGGCACCATGCATTTTTCTTTGTACTCCTCACCTTTGTGACGCCATACAGTTTTGAAGCCACCAGTTTCAAAAACATTTATCTTGGTCCCATCACTCAGTACAGAGTCCCAGTAGTCTTCTTCTCAGAATGAGCCCTGGCAAATTCTAGGCAGGCTTTTTTGTGCATGGGCTTTAGGAGAGGCTTCCTTCATGGAAGACACCCATACATGCCATTCCTCTGCAGTGTACGCCGCATTGTGCCACTAGAAACAATCACCCCAGTTTGGCTTTCTACTTCTTTAGCTAACTGCAGTGAGCTTGCATGGTGATTTTCTTCAACCCTTCTCATCAGAAGACGCTCCTGTTGAGGTGTTAACTACCATGGACAGCCTAGATGTCTCTGTGAGATGGTTACAGTTCCATCTTTATTACATTTTTGTATCACTTTTGCAGTGTTCTTTTTACAGTATATTGACTGATAAGTAAAGTTTTGATGATCTTCTTGTAGCCTTCACCTTTCTTGTGTAAAGAAATTATTTTCTTTCTCAGGCCTTGTGACATTTCTCTTCCATGTGGTGCTATTGCTGACAGCATGAAACAGGAAGGGGTTTTATTTTTGTTAAGTAACGCCCTTTTATAATCAACTGCCTAAGATTGACACTATTCGCAGGGACATCTTTGCTGCTCAGACCTCTACCCCACCGACCTACTCTCACACAGCAACCCCCTCAACACCCCTCCCCCTTGGCCTCACCACTGTTCAGACCTCCACCCCATCTAACATCCATCTAACCCCATCAAACATCCCTCACACAGTAGCCCCCTCAACACTCCACTCCTTTGACCCCACCACCACTGAGGAGGTCACCAAGGTCTTCTCTGAAGCCCTCCTCACCACCTGCCCCCTCGACCCTGTCCCCTCACAACTCCTACGATCTCCCCCCTCCTCCATCCTACGCTCCCTCATCCACATCTTTAATCTCTCCCTCTCTTCTGGCACATTCCCTCTGAAGCACGCACACATCACTCCCATACTTAAAAAGCCCTCCCTGGACCCCACCGACCCGAACAAACTTAGACCCATCTCCCTGCTGCCATTTACATCCAAACTCCTTGAGCGCTTAGTCTATACTCGCCTAAGCTCCCACCTCAATGACAACAACCTCCTCGACCCCCTACAGTCCGGCCTCCGTCCCCTACACTCCACCGAAACCGCCTTACTCAAACTCACAAACAACCTGCTAACCGCCAAAGATAATGGCCACTACTCAGTGCTACTACTCCTCGACCTCTCTGCGGCGTTCGACACAGTCGACCCACCCCTCCTCCTCAAGAAACTACACTCCCCTGGCCTTAGAGACTCCGCTCTCTCCTGGCTCTCATCCTACCTATCACAACGCTCCTTCAGCGTTACCTATAACACTACCACCTTGCCCCCACTCCCCCTCTCTGTTAGAGTCCCTCAAGGCTCTGTCCTTGGGCCCCTTCTCTTCTCCATCTACACCTCCTCCCTTGGCCAACTGATACACTTTCACGGCTTCAACTACCACCTCTATGCCGACGACACGCAAATCTATCTCTTGACGCCTCACCCCTTCAGTCTCCGCCCGAATCACTAGCCTACTGAACGACATATCAGAGTGGATGTCACTCCACTTCCTTAAACTGAACCTCTCCAAAACCGAGCTCCTAGTCTTCCCCCCAGCCCGCACACCCCCCACACTGACTTCTTCATCACGTCCAACCATGCCATGATCAAGCCCACCCCGCAAGCCAGAGTACTTGGTGTCATACTAGACTCCAATCTATCCTTCCAGCCCCAAGTCCAATCGCTAACAAACTCATGCAGACTCCACCTCCGCAACATCGCCAAAATACGCCCATTCCTAACCCCAGATACTACTAAGCAGCTCATCCACTCCCTCATCATATCACGACTCAATTACTGCAACTCCCTGCTCACTGGCCTGCCTCAAAACAGGCTATCCCAACTTCAGTCGATCCTGAATACGGCAGCCAGACTCATCCAGCTTACCAGCCGCTCAGTTTCCGCCACCCCCCTCTGCCAATCCCTCCACTGGCTTCCAATTGCCTAACGGATCAAATTCAAACTGCTAACACTGATGTACAAAGCTGTCCATAATTCTGCCCCAAACTACATCACCGACCTGATATCCAAATACCACCCAAAACCCACTCTCCGCTCTTCACAAGACCTCCTTCTCTCGAACCCCTTGTGTATCGCACTGTATTGCTATTGTACTGTCTCATGTATTGTGCCCCCCATTGTAATTTACAACACTGAGCGAACTGTTGGCACTATTATACTGTCTCAATACTGTAATAATATATAAATACTGTATAATAGAAGAAGAAACTGCCTGCTGGACACCTGTTTAATGAATAATTAGACTTACCTGTAGTTGAATTCTTATTAATTAGGATTTTGTTGTCCAAAATTTAGCTTTGCTCCGAAGACTTTCATTAGGGTGTATTCAGTTTTTCAACATGGTCTTGAATGAATTTGTTAGGAAAAATACTTTTTTTTGTGTCTGCAAATTAACAAATCCTGTTTGCAATCAATCACCCGCATTTGTGGGAGTATTTTGTACTATAGTGTCCCATAGAAAATGTTGTTCCGAAAGGAAAGTAAAGGTTTTCTGACAAATCTGTTAGGGTGTACTCATTTATGCTGAGCACTGTATATATAGGGAAGCAACTGGAATGTGATCCTACAAAGGAAAACGATTTAAATCCACAGTAGAGCAGGTGACAGCCATAGATGAAACCAGCAGCAGGTGAAAGAAATCACAGATCTAGCAGAACCACTGCAGCAAGGAGTTAAGAAATCTGCAGGTAAGACTGTGACAGGCAGATTAGGATACAGACACCTTTGAACAGGCCCCCCACCCAGTATTCAGATCTCAATCTTAAGGAATACCGTTTGAAGATTGGTATGCAGCTGCATTAGTAGCCATGCCAAAAACCTTTAACAGTTGCAGCATAAACCAAAATGCCTAAATTTGTGGCACACCACAGATATACAACCACATTCCACAGCCATACAGTACCATATTATACCATGTAGTGGAAATAATGGTGGTATATATAAAGCGCTCATAAATAATGCAAGCAGCTGAACATATAGGAAAACACATAGAAGTCCCAAAATACATAAACAGAAGAAATGCAGCGTCTTGAAAAAAATGATAATAGAAATAAATAATAATAAACACAGTCCAGTGAAAAAACAGTGTTCCTTGTTTCCCAGTGTAAATGGTAGAATTTTGCACTAACCAGAACGCGCATAGGTAATGCGCATATGTGTATATATCCTGAAGATCCTTTCTCCACTCAAGTCTGGTCAGGTATATGGCTTGGAAGAATGGAGATCCTACGCCCTCATGTGGTGGGAAGTGATCCAGCAGGTCAGAGCAATAACGATCTAGATGAGCCTCCAAAAGGAACTGGCACAGGAATCCCAAGGGCTACAAGGATGGAAAAGCTCCTCACAGGAGACACAGGGGAGCACTCATAGTGTAGTAATTAAAACTTTATTTGAAAGCAGCACAGGTGCAGAATACAGAAGAATAGCCAAGTATGGGCAAACACACTGACCCTATTGGATGTCAAAATGGCCGCCGGGCCTCCTCGTGGCACCGGCGGCTTGGTGTCAACGGCGTCCTAGGGTCCCACCTGACGCGTTTCGTGCGCACGCACTTCCTCAGAGGTGGAACATAGGGCTGCCGTGACCGTTTGATCGTACCTAAATACCGTATTCCGCGCATGCGCACTGATGCGGCGCCCATCTTGCCGAAGTCCGTGCGTCCGCAATACCCGAGTGCGCATGCGCGGATGCCATTTCACCATGGGCCAGGAGAGAACAAGAATCACTGAAGAGCGGCTCCATATAAGTGGAGCTCGGCTATCCGAGATAGGCTCAAAGCGCATGCGCGAATGCCATCATCCCGTGTATACACAGTTCAATCCCACTGGCACAGAGAAAAGTGAATCTCTGATGGTAAATGGCTGCAGAACCCGGTGTTGGAACATAGAGCAATATTAAATAAAAAAACCCACCCAAGGGCATCCCATACATAATAATGCATATAAAGGAAGAATGATATAAAAACCAGATCAAAAGATAAACAGAGAGCTGGTGACAGTGCTGCTATAATAAAAAGCCATTAACTCCATATGCCCCAAACAAATGAAGCGGGGTTAATGGTTAGATGTTAAAACCAATTTGTAAATCAATTGTAATGTCAAGCCCCCACCGTAGGGAGAATTACCTATATATAAGGTTAAGGACACCATGGTGGAATGGCAAAATAGTAAAATTACTAAAAATAACGCATGGGAATTGGTCAACAGAGATTCGATCAAGACCCATATATGACACAATAACATATATAAAACGTGCAAGATAAAATTCCAAAAATTATGGAATAAAAAAGTAGATAAAATTAAATTAAAAAAAAAACGAAGTGCAGTTGGCACCAGCACAATAAAAAGGACTAATAAGGGTCAGAATGCGAATTTGTACAAGCGCATGTAAAAGATGACAGAATTAATGAATAATCCTGTGTCAATGCGCAATAAGGGCCTGAAAACATGATGTAAACTGGTCCGCTTAATTGGCCTAAATGTGTGAGTTGGCAATAGAGAATGGATAGCAATATATCTAATATCCGAAGGTAATGGACAAATCCACAAACTATTAGTCAAGCACCGCGCAGGGTTAACTGTTGTCAATGAAACAATTGACATCCAGTTCGATATTCAAACCTGCAGGGTATAAAGTATCTAATTCAAAAATGTGTTTAGTCTCTAATTGTGAGACGGCCCTAGTTTTACAAGTTCCTCTCCAATGTGGAGTCACAATGTCAATGCCCACAAATCTCAAGCTGGTAGGGTCTCTATGATGATGTTTCCTATAGTGGAGGGACAATGAGTGTTCCTTAAATCCCTTCTTTATGTTGTTAACATGTTCTCGAAGGCGGTCCCCTAAGGCGCCTAGTTGTCTTACCAATGTATTGCTTGAGACAGGGCATTCCAGTAAATACACAACAAATCTGCTATTACAGCAAATAAATTTATCGATGTTATACGATCTATTAGTTTGGTTGGAGGTATAGGTGTCTATCTTTCTTTTCCTCATACCATTACATTTACAGGCGATGCAATTGTTGCATGGGTAGAAGCCCGTATAGTCAAACAAAGTGGAAGGTGATTTAGGCATGGTAACAACATTAGGGGCTATTTTATCCCGCAAGGTGGATGATTTACGGAAGATAACCTCGGGTTTCTCCGGAAGTATCTTAGCAAGGGTGGTATCAGCCTTCAAAATCCCCCAGTTCTTAGTAATTATATGTTTAATGGATCTATATTGGGCAGAGAATGTTGTAATAAATGGACATACCAAATTTTTAGGTGGTTTCGTCTGGGTGCTTAATAAATCATGCCTATCCATGTTGGTTATTAATTCCATAGTTTCATTCAAAACCTTCCCGTCATATCCTTTCTGAAGGAATCGTTCTTTAAGGATATTAGCCTGCGTGTGGTAAGTGTCGATGTTGGTACAGTTTCTTCTCAACCTGAGGAATTGTCCCTTCGGTATACCTGCCAACCAACTGGGGTGATGTCAGCTCCCTAGTGGGATGAAACTGTTTCGATCGGTGGTTTTGAAAAAAGATTTGGTAGTAATGTGTCCACCGGTGTTAATTAGAGTGAGATCTAGGAAGTCAATTTCAATGTTGCTAAACTTGTTATGATAATTTAATATTCACAGAAATTGTTGTTAAGGGTAGTGGAAAAAAATTAATAAGGGATTGTTCCGTGCCATTCCAAAACAGGAGCACGTCATCAATATACCGCTTATAATACAACAATTCAGGCCAGTCCATAGCATAAATGTTATCCTCCTCCCAATAGGACATGAACAAATTTGCCAGGCTGGGGGCAAACTTTGCCCCCATGGCAACTCCCTTGACTTGCAGGTAGTAATTGCTGTCAAACCACATATAATTCTTTGACATGGCAAAATTCAGAAGTTCCAGTATGAAATCAATATGTGGAGGGAGTAAGGAGCTCTCATGCGTAAAGGTAATGTTTAGCGACTGTCATCCCATCTCTATGGTCAATGTTGCTGTACAACGGGCCTCAACATCCGCTGTTACCAAAAAAGAGGATGGAGGAATAGAGATATCTTTGATGGAATTTAGGACATGCTTCGTGTCCCTTAAATAGGAAGGGGTATGCGCAGTACTAACGGTTGAAGATGATGATCGATATAGGCCCCTATCCTAGAGCAGGACTGAATCGATCACCGCTCACTATTGGTCTGCCCGGAGGTTTTAGTGGATTTTTTATGTACTTTGGGCAATATATACAAGACCGGTAAACGAGGGGGCCTTGGGACACAGAAATTCCTTCTCTTTTTTTATTAACAATTGATTTATCATAAACCGTTTTAATAATAGTTTTGAGAGTGCGTTTATACTTTTGATAGGGGGTCTTTATGAAGCGGTTGGTATGTAGAACGTATCTCCAAGGGATATTATATACCTCTGCTATGTAATCACTCTTATTTAAAATGACTACCCCCCTCCCCCCTTATCCGCAGGTCTTACTACGAGATCTTTCTGCTCTAGAAGGGATTTGATTGCTGTGTCTATTTTAGGATCTTTGTATATTTTTCTTAGTGGGAAGATTTTTTTAGATCTTTCAATACTTGATCTCTAAATAAACTGACAGCTGAATTACTTGTGTGGTGGTGGGGGATTGAAAGTAGAAGCATTAGAAAGAGAAGTATATTGGCATGAGGGGATGTTTAGTGATAGGGTTATTCATAAAATATCTTTTGATCGATAACCTTCTTGCGAATTTCTGAATATCAATAAAGGCCTGGGAATTTATTCATGGGCCTAGCTGGGGCAAATTTTAACCCTTTATCCAATAGACTTAATTCATTATCAGAAAGCGAGGATGCGCTAAGGTTGAAAATACCCTTCCCAATCATGTTCTCCTTCGCTTTGTTGGATCTATTGATTCTCTCTCCTCCCCCCCTCCTCTTGCCTCTATATTGTCGCTTCTTTTCCGTACCCTGCCCCTCTCTAAAAAATGATGACTATTAATTAGAGCGGATGTCAGGGGTTCTGGGAGTAGGGGGGTGCATAATAATCATCATATGGTGGTCTCCAATATTGATTTTGGTAATCATTTGAATACTGATCCCTATAATACCCTTGTTGTGGAGGATAATGATGGTAATAAATCTCTCTGGATTATGAGAAGGATGCCTCTGGGTATGTATAGGGCCCTGGTTGTTGTTTTTATGATGAGCCTTGCGTTTATTAGGCTTAGAATGGGTATTATGCGAATTGGGGTTTCCAGGTTTAGGATGGACATTAGATGCCATCATTGACAACAGTTAGCCCTGCGGTGCTTGACTAATAGTTTGTGGATTTGTCCATTACCAACCGGATATTAGATATATTGCTATCCATTCTCTATTGCCAACTCACACATTTAGGCCAATTAAGCGGACCAGTTTACATCATGTTTTCAGGCCCTTATTGCGCATTGACACAGGATTATTCATTAATTCTGTCATCTTTTACATGCGCTTGTACAATTCGCATTCTGACCCTTATTAGTCCTTTTTATTGTGCTGGTGCCCAACTGCACTTCGTTTTTTTTTTTATTTAATTTTATCTACTTTTTTATTCCATAATTTTGGAATTTTATCTTGCACGTTTTATATATATGTTATTGTGTCATATATGGGTCTTGATCGAATCTCTGTTGACCAATTCCCATGCGTTATTTTAGTAATTTTACTATTTTGCCATTCCACCATGGTGTCCTTAACCTTATATATAGGTAATTCTCCCTACGGTGGGGGCTTGACATTACAATTGATTTACAATTGGTTTAACATCTAACCATTAAACCCGCTTCATTTGTTTGGGGCATATGGAGTTAATGGCTTTTTATTATAGCAGCACTGTCACCAGCTCTCTGTTTTATCTTTTGATCTGGTTTTTATATCATTCTTCCTTTATATGCATTATTATGTATGGGATGCCCTTGGGTGGGTTTTTTTTTATTTAATATTGCTCTATGTTCCAACACCCGGGGTTCTGCAGCCATTTACCATCAGAGATTCACTTTTCTCTGTGCCAGGGGATTGAACTGTGTATACACGGGATGATTGGCATTCGCGCATGCGCTTTGAGCCTATCTCGGATAGCCGAGCTCCACTTATATGGAGCCGCTCTTCAGTGATTTCTTGTTCTCTCTCCTGGCCCATGGGAGAAATGGCATCCGCGCATGCGCACTAGTCGGGTATTGCGGACGCACGGACTTCGGCAAGATGGCGCCGCATCAGTGCGCATGCGCGAATACGGTATTAGGTACGAATCAAACGGTCACGGCAGCCCTATTGTTCCACCTCTGGAGGAAGTGCGTGCGCACGAAACGCGTCAGCTGGGACCCTAGGACGCCGTTGACACCAATCCGCCGGTGCCACGAGGAGGCCC